TAAACATATAAGTGGTCTAGCATACATGGATTTAGACAATGCAAAAATAAGTGGCTTCTTTTAATATCAAGCATGATATCGAGCAATTTAGAACCGTCTTGCCATTGTAGTCAGTGGCGTAACCAGTAATAATGAGAGCGAAGAAGGAATATCCGCACCAAGTACTGTTTATTTCTCTGGGGACGCTATCACTATGATGAGGCGAGACTCTTCATTAGATAGCAAAGATTAGGTCCAAAGCATCATCCATGGTAACAATATTTCCAATATTTATTTGTTACCAAAATTTTATTTTTCAACGGATTACAATTGCTTCTCCATCTTATCGAATATTTTGCTTCATCAGGCTTTTTACAAGATTATAATTCTGTTTTGAAATTTCAAAATAGAGAGAAATTAGTCAAAGATCTTTAAATATTTAAATAATTTAAAAATCTATCAAGCTGTAGAAAAAAAGAACTTAAAACTAGTCAATTAACCCAATGATATTCATTTGTGCAAAGAAGAACGCCGAAAATAGCAATTTTTTTTAATCCATGATAATCACTAGCACAGTACCAATAGCAATTACTTACTAGGATAAAGTGAGATTTCTTCAGCAAACGAGATAAAAGCTTATCATTCAGACCAGTAGGCATCCCATATCTAATGATTTTCTTGTGAAAAAAACCTAATGAAGAAAAATTTTAATAAAAAAATCAGAAACGCATAAAAACTCTAAATTCAAAATTTATAACGAAGGGAGGTGATAATGAAGGTAATTATGGCTAGCTTAATTCGACAAAATGATTTATAATCACTAAAAGTTCGTCGATAAATACCATTCCTCAAAAATATCAAATAAATTTGATAGGAAATTATCTCGAAAAATATTACAACTTATAGCAAAAAATCATATGAGCGCGCATAATCACTTGAAAAGTATTTTAATGAGAAAAATACATTATTTTTGCGTGATCTTACGTGCTTTGCATTTTATTTATTACATTTTGAATTTTAAAAATCGCAAGTAGTCCAAAATTCTTTAAAATAAATTTTTATAAAAGAATATATTAAAAAGTAAATAAATATTTAAACATTTAAATAAAAAATCGAATAAAACGAGGAAAAAAAGTAATATGATGGCAAAAACAATAATACGGTAAGAGTAGTAGTAAATAAGTAAGTGATAAGTAACCGTTGCTCACCATATGTAGTAAGGTGAGAAATTTTTGCAAGGATATCACTTTGGCGAAGAAATGTGTGGGTCCTCAACACCAATAGCAGTAATAACAGTGATAATAATATAAAAATAACAAAAGAGATACGAAAGAAATAATAGAAAAAAGTATAATAGATAAATGCACAAATAGTATATGTTTCTTTTACTAAACTTTAAGTTTAAGTAAACTTAAATGATTAGATGATGGGAATAAAAAACGGATGAAAAAGTAGAAAGTATGATAATGTCACAATGAATTTTTTCATAATATTTTATGATTCCTGTATGATTCGCAAATTTTATTCCTCTGATGTAGCATTTTTTTATTTTTTCATTTTGATACTTTTTTCATGGATTAATTTTGCACAAAAACAGTTTAACTTCGGCAAATAATAATTCTTTTGAAATTTAACTTTAGTACTCGTCTTATTTGATTGCGAATAATAATGCAATGAGACAATGGGAAAAGATTGGAATGGGATGAGGATGATCGAGTGGCGTGTTGTTTAAATTAAGACGTCTCATGACGAGTAGATATATCAATAAAAATTATAACCAGATGGTAGTGGTGAACCAATGCCACAGTTGACAAAATCACATCTATGAGTAATTGTTCTTCCGAATTTCAGATTCTTCAACTTCAGATTAAAACATCTCGGATGGTAGATCTAATTCGACGCTCTCAATTCTAGCACGAAATTGAACATTTCTTATTATATTTCACTATCCTATGCAACTCCAATCATCATTTCCTATTTTCCAGTTTAAGCTACAATGCTCTCATAGTGAATTGCTAAAAACTATAATCCAGGTACAGTTGATCAGTTGATTAACGTACAGCATGTGGTGATAAGATAAGGTCGAGCCTTTATTTAGAAAGGGCCATCACTAGTCTCTAGAAGTTTTGTTTATTATTCCTCTCCCTCACCTATGATCCATCAGATAAGAACTTCTCATATAAAAGATGATTTTATATAGATATATATATATATATATGAATAAAACTTCAATCCGTTATTGTTATTACTTGATCCTCAATGTTCTTAAATGTTTCTGGTGTAAATTCGTACAGAAAGGATGTTGTTGTCAAATTAACGATAAACGATTAACGATAAATGGCAAATAAAGAGGATTTTTACTACTGAAAGTGAAATTTAAACTTACTTGTATTTTCTTATCAGCGAATGTTCAATTTCCAAAGTTAAACCTCTCGTAACTGATTCTCTAATTTGCTCATTGAACGTTTGAAGAACATTGAATATCTTTGGAATCATATTTCTTTCAGCTTCGTTATTTTCATGTAATCTGTCGTATTTCCTATTCTTCAATTTCCACATCTTAAGAGAAAATAGTGGAAAATAGACGAAAAAATAAATATTGCAAATAGTAAGATCAGCCCTCAGCACCTTCCCTTTATACGACGCTATTTGTTTCTCTTTCTTATATTTCCATCTTTGCGAATTTAACAAATATTCATGATGTCGGATCAACAGAGCGTTGACATACGCCATAGCTTCAATGATTAAAATGTAACTCTTGATTGAGACAAATTAATAAATTAATACTCCATTAAATTTTGATGAAAAAGCTTGAAGAAATGAGGCTAAAAGATTAAGAGTCTAAAAATGAGCAGAGGAGCTGTTAATCTATGTAATTTCATAAATCCTGAATCTAATAAATCTGTCATTGAGAAAACCGTAGTATGTCGTAAATTTGAATCTTTTTCTTCGGAGTACCATTCGAAAACAAATGCCAGCTAATTCATTCAACGAAGGTTGAGGATGGCATCATCTCAAGCTTAAACTTTATGAATACCAGATTCCTGTTTCTCATTCGAGCGCACTCAAAATACTGCACCAATGAAATTAATTAGAAATGATTATCTTTTAAATTATTTTGATTTTTTTCATGTAATTTAAACGTGCACAGCTATGAATTGGTTCCGTACCTTCTCTTAACAAAAATAAAATGATGGTTAAAAAAAAATTAGGGTGATTGGGATTTATATATCTCTATCTCCAAATGATTCTCTGTTAAAATTGCCTCACGCTATTCAAAGTCAGTGAAGCTAATCTAATGAGAAATAATAATTTTTGCCGATTATTTGCGGATTTATTGAAATCAATTTTTAATATTTAAAAAACGGAACATATCTCAACAACATAAAAAGTCAATCTAATGAAGACTTTGTTAGGAGGTAGCATGGTTCAGTGGGTTGTTTCTATTTAGAGAACCATTGCTGAGGTTGTATTCCCCCCAGATAGATAGGGTAGAACTGTTCGAAAAGTCCGGGTGGTACTGGCGGCTCACCTGTACTTTTATCGCCAAAGAACTATATAGCGTATTTGTCCAGTGCGACAAACCAGCGGAGCGAATTTACCCAATGGTGAGGGCTCTCAAAGAAAAAAGAACCTATAAACCCATAGGTTTTAAGCTAGATTTAAAAGTCAATTCCTCTTTCAAGGCCATTACAATTATTTATAGCCAAATTTCCTCAGTTCATATTCAATTATTCATATTCACTGCAGTGCAATTCTGTTATCAAAGCCTATTTAAAAAAAGAATAATGGAAAATGAATTAAAATTGGAAATTAAACAAAACTTTTTTACAGGCAGTTAGACGTCATTTAACGTCATTTTTAGGATTTTTTTCCTTTTTTAACAAATAAAGTTGAAATAATAAAAACACCAATTGAATATTATTTTAATAGCAAATCACTCATGAACGAATCATTCATGAATAAATCTTTCTTCTTGGTTGCGCTTATTGGCACGACTGGAAATATATAGAGTGGCTCGGCGATGATAAGTTCGTATGATAAAAGTTCAAATTTCTCAAAATGAGAAAACGTGAGAACTTTTCAATAATAATTATGAAAAAATAACCAATAAATTGAAATTAAAAATAAATTGAAATTTACATAAAGCAGCAAACAAAGCATGAAAATTTCACCCTGAAAAATCATTTACAAGAAGAAAAATAAGTGTTTGTTTTTTGCACGATTTAATTAAGCGGTTTCTCGAAGGATTTAATTAAAAGGATTTAATTGAAGAAAAATTATTTTATTCCCTTGTTATCAACGAATAAACCAATTTTAAAGATATTTATTGTAGAAATATCATAAATAAAATGTGTAAAAAACTTTTTTACCCTTGTGAGTGGTCGTGATTATCCTTTTAACCTTGGGTGCTCTACAAGAGGCCTAGAAGATTAAGGGTTCTGCACATCTTAGCTATTCCTTAATAGTAGAGATAGAGATCTTTGATGTCGTTGCTGAAGCAACGTTTAGGGGTCATGGTACCAAGTGCTCCAGTTATCACTGGAATTAATTTGACCTTTACTTACCACATCTTCTCTAGTTCCTCTTGGTATTTCTCTAACTTCTCATATTTTTTCTTCGTAAGTTTCTTGTCAATTGGTATTGCTATATCAATCACACTGCTGATTTCCAATTTTTGTCTATTATCACGATATCTGGTTAATTGGCAAGTGCTTGTTTGTCTGTTTGGATGGGGAAGTCCCACAGAATCATCATCTTATTATTCTCTACGATTTTTTGAGGAATCACACATTGTCTTGAGAGTGTAAGGTATATACCGAACATATTTTCCTGTAGATGATGCCAGCTACTTATATGCCTTTGCATTTCAGTTATTCCTCTTGCATCTTCCACTATGTACTGGAGTGTTTCTGAGACGTTTTTGCACAATCTGTATCCCTTGTGTCGAGATAGATCTGGTGCTTGCTCCTGTTCTGTTATGCCTCAGTAATGACTTTTAGTTTGGCTTTCTCCAACCACTAGTAGGATTTCGCAATATCAATTATCTGCCAATGGTGCAATCCATGGAGGGCTTTATTTTGCCATGGTATTTCCTTTGCTTGATCATTTTCTAATGTCTGCATATACTTCAGACATTCTTTCAGCAGTTCATCCTTTCGTGCATCTTGTTGATATATTTCTGAATGTTTCGAGACCCGTTCTTCATAGTGTCTTTCACCATTCGCCTTCTTTTCGGCTAGCGTACAGCCTTTGGATATTGGACTTAGAGTGTAAGTGGGAAATTTCCTGGTCTTTACACCAGCAGCCTCTATGTATCCATATTTATCCATCTTACAACACAAATTGCGTATATATTTATGGCATGGATTTTCTTTTTTCCACTGAACTGCCCCTTTGTCTTATATATATATATCATTTCCACATCAGTTAGTGCTGGTTGAAAAAACAAAGTAAGAGAAAAGTGAAAAGTTTTTTAAATGTATAAATAATATATATATATATATATATATATAATAAATAATAATATATATATATATATAAATATGATTCGTATTAATATATATCTTTGTCATGGAAAGAAAGGAAAATAGGCGAAAGCAAAACCTTTTTTTATCTTCTGTGAGTGGTAAGGGTCATCCTCAATATCTACCAGAGGCTTGAAATTAAAAGCCCTGCGCAGTAGCTATATCTTAGCTATTCTTAGCTGCGACCTTCTGGATAGGGATCTTTGATGTCGTTCCTAGAGTTTTCTGAAGTCATCTTTCTAGTTTAGGAGTCATAGTTCCATGTGCTTCAATTATTACTGGGATTTATTTTCCACATCTTCTGTAGTTCCTTTTCCAGTTTCTATCATTTCTCTAACTTCTCATATTCCCTTCCTAACGTTTCTGTCTCTTGGTATTGCTAAAACTATCACCAGTGCTGATTTCTCATTCTTGTCTATTACTATAATGTCTGGTTGATTGGTCAATACTTATTTGTCTGGATGAAAAACTCCCACAGGACCTTTGCTTTATTCGTCTTCTGAAGAATCTCCCATCTAGTCTTGGAAGAGCCTATATACCGAGCAGATATTCCTGTAGATGAAGTCAGCTATTTGGTTATACCCTTCAATGTATGCTGCATCCTGCATTCTTTTGTTCCTATCACAGCAACTATTTGACTGTTTCTGGGATGTTTTTGCACAATCTGCATCTAGAATCCTGTCTAGTAGTCTTGTTTCATTGGAGGTGTTATATACTAGTACATTCTCTTGTGCTGCTTCCAATCGATGGTAGAATTTCTCAATATAAGATAATTCACCTATCTATTGGTGGTGCATTCCATGGAGGGGTTGCCATGATATTCCCTCTACTTGGTCTTTTTCCAATGAATGTAAGTGCCAGTATCTCATCCACTGATACCATCTTGCTGGTATATTGCTTGAATAAATGCTTTGGGTTTCATTTAAGACAGAGCCTTTTATACTTATCAAGCGCTGGTGCACAGTCTTTGTCTAGACTTGGAGAGCTTCTGGGTCTACACAATCTCAGCAATCTCCATGTCTTCCTTTTCTATCTTACTATGCCAACTGCCCACCTGATTATTTGCAGAACGAACATATTTATGGTACAGATTTTGTTTTCGCATTAAGCTAGCTTTTCAGGATTTATTCTTTGATGGTACTTAAATATTGCAGATTTTCTTGCCTTCTCATCATGGTTGCCATGTGATTGTAGGATGCTAAGGACTTATAGCTAGTCTGTATGTCTGCTATATATTCTGATGGTACACTCCATTAGTCCATTAGTAAATATTATTTTTCCTTTTTTTACTACCATTTGGCCATTTCTCTAGCCCGAATGATTTTCCAGTGTCCTTGCTGTGTTAGATGGATAAGCGAGTCAATTTCTCGTTTACTTTTTGTATATAACTTTATATCATCCATGTAGTGACGATGGCTGATGGTACGATGGTTCGTGCTCTTGAATTTGTAGCTATATCCACTTCTGGTGATTATCTGACTGAGGGGGCTTACACCATACAGAAATTATGCGTCACCTTGATATATCCTCATTTGATAGCTACTTGTGCAAGTTATGAGTTGACTTCAAGTGTTTTATTAGTCCCATTGAGAGTCAGAGTCACAAACCCATATATGGGACTTTGAATCACAGGCTTTCCTATAGTCAATCCAAAGACAGATTTGTAGACAGATTGATCTGTCGCGATTTTGAATCAGAGCGACTGGTGTTTGGGACCTGTGATATTGTTCCCAATGCCTTTTTGAACTGCATTCATATCCTGGCTCATATGGTCTTGATGGCTGTGATGCCTGAAGACTTTCCATATTTCGAGTATTTGTGGGTAGGCAAACTATTGGTCGATAGTTGGACAATGTTGTTCACTTAATGAATGTTTCTCATGATTCATTCTTCTTGTTAACCAGTCTGGGTGAGAGCTAGCTGGTTCATCTCATGAACCGCTATTAGTTTCTTTAGCCAGTAGATTTGAATCATGCCCACATCAGATGCTGTTCAACTCTTCATATTTTTGAGTTCTATTGTATGTCAGCAACTGTGATGGTAGCTGATTCCTGCTCTGGAGGATTGCTGTGATTTCTGAGGACTTTCAGATCTTGCAGCCATTTTGCGTTGGTTATTTTTCGTATATTTCCTGCCACTAGTGACTGTGTTATTACCACATTGTTGCACTAGAGTGCATTTAGATGGTTCACGTTTATCTTCTCAGCCTCTGCCTACTCTAATGTATTTGCTTAGATCTTCATACCTTTCTATAATTCTAATTTCTCTGCGATGTGTTCTAGTCTAATTTTCCAGCCTCCTTTTCCGCGTCAGTTATAGCTTTTTTTTTTTAATTTTATGTCTCAGTATATCCAAAATTACAGTGGCTGTGGCGTCCACCAATTCATTAGTTTCTGTTATAGTGATAGTAAAAATTGTTGCGAGGACTTTGTTTGCATCTTCAAGTATATTAGTTTGGTGGTATTTCACTAAGCCTCTGTGGTCAATCTCGATGATTAATTACAGTCACTTTATTCACTTTTTTGCCTCATGTCAATTGCTCTGATTTGCAACAAAGATGCTGAAAAGCAATTTCCAGCTTCCCAGCTTGCTGTATGCACATCACTTTTTTCACTTTTTTCCTGTTCTTTCGGAATATTCTGGAACTGGTATATAATGCATATGTTGAAACGTTGAGTCACTAGCTGTTTGCAGGCTTTTTCCCTACGATTTCTTTATTGTCGAATGGCGAAGAAATTGCAAATATGTGCAAATAAACCTATTGCATCTATTACATATCTCTTTTCTAGCGAGAATATTGAGAAATTAAGAGAGGCAAGAGTTGGAAAAAATATAAAAAATCAGAGAACTATAGTAGAGTGCTCACGAGTAGAGAAATATAATAAAGATATCTTCTATTTTGAGAGAATGGAAGACAAACATGAATCTTCTTTCCCCCCACCACCCATCTCAAAACGAATACAAGCGCCCAAGATACCATTTTGGCCATTTTGGGTTTATTCTGAAGAGAAGGTGGAAGTAGGAAGGAGAAAAATAAGGGAATAGGTTGGCGATCTGGGTGGCATTGGGTTTTCGTCAACGTCTCATCTTCGTTAGCGTCGTTCTTACGTGGCCGGTAATGAATGTCTTCTCCCAATATATATATATATATATATATAAAATACCGCGTGGTAAGAAGTTCAAAAATTTAAACAGGCGTGGATTCTAATATAGTAGCATTCCATCAATTCCAGATTATCTTCCACGTAAAATTTGTTCCTTTTTAACCCTTAACGCTCCAGTAGCCCACATCAGATAGCCTGGTTCTTGAACTTCTGATGCGTATCTTGTTGGTTTCGGCGACAATGACAATTAATAATTATTAAATAATTCTGGATCATTTCTTAGCGAAGAAACATCTCATTTCTTAGTAGGCAGAACAAGTCTCAAATCAATTTTCAGATAGTGCGATTTATGTTAAATAGTCGACTCATTATTTATTTATAATTTATCGTCATAAATTTTAAAACAAAATAAAGTGAAGAACTAAAGAAAAGCAGAATCAAAAATAAATGGTGAAATTTTTGGACATATTTTCTGGACATATTTATTTATCCAAAAAGGCAATTTCTAGCTTTCGGTAAAACAATGAATGAAAAAGAAGCAGAAAATTTTCAAAATTATTTTATTTTTTATCATTTATTTCTATTTTTTTTATTTTTTATCATTCCTATTTACTCCATAAGAACTAAGAAAAATTTAAATTTTCACTCACTTAAAATAAAGCCATTTTAAGGGAAGAATCAATGAGAAAATAATTACAACATTTGTATACAAGCTGGAAAATTAAGAATTGTATAAATTATATATAAATTATATATATAAATTGCAGGATAACTTAAAATGACTAATTGCCTTCATCTCTTCCAACCGTATTGACTCTTTTTCTGGTTTGGCTGATTCCGAATTAGGATATCCTTTCGCCATAGACTCACATGAGAAAAAAGTATAAATACCTCGGCACTATCCAGAGTTCATTTCAGCGTCATATTCAGGCCAATGCACGGATCTATGATGGTTTGATCTTAGTCAAAACAGTATACTACTCGACCACTCAATTATCGTAGCTTATCAAATAGGATTGGTTAAATTAAGCAAGAAAGAAATTAAATATTGTCTGTCAACAGAAAAGAATTCAAAGTTTTTAATTGTCTCAATTTCATCTAATGAATAAGTTTTCGAAATAAAATTACCATTTATTGCCAAATTTCAAAAACTATTTTGTAAATAAAAATTCGTCTTCGATAATAGCAATCAAATAGCAATCAAATAATAAATTTAAATTTAATATTTAGATAAATAATAAATAAATAATAACTAAATAACTAAATAAATAATAAATAATAACTAAATAATTTATATAACTAACATATAAAATCGTAGTTTTGAATAAGTGGCTATCATTCATCATTTCTGGTTAGACTAGTTCTACTGGTTATTAATATTGCTACGGAATTACATGACGATAGAAATGCAGGTGGATCGTCAGCATCATTTGTACTTTTTAATCAGGACCAGAACCTTTGCCTCTCAAAACATAATCCGAGTCGCTCGGTTATCCTGCATGATAACAACATATTTATTCATTCAAGATAGCGATTTCCGATTTTCTTAATTTTTCTCGCATTTTTCAGGAACCCTATGAAATTGGTCAGTTCTAAATAGATTGGTTGTTAATATGAGAAAAAATTTTTATCAAGGAGTCACCCGAGGATAGAAATATGTCTTTAACACAACTCCTTAGAAATAGCTGAAATTTTTTGGCA